AGGTGTGATTGACTACAGCGAGTTCTTTGGGGAAAGAAACAAAGGAGTTGTCAAGGAAGCTAGCTGCTATGAGGAGACCGCCACATTTAGAAGACACATTATGAACCTCGTACCTGGCAACGTGTCATGATTTGTTCTGTCGCACATCTGGCGCTTGCTTTTTGACCAGAGTCAAACTAAGGAACCTCCGAATGGCTCATGCCTCTTGATGTAAAGGCGCCTTTTCCTTGAGGCCACCCTTTTTTTGGTAGACCACCACTTTTGGGGGACTGACCGGACGCACACCCATGTGTGTGTGTGTGCGCGCTCTTCGGATGCCCTTAGGCTCAGCTTGTGCAGACTTTCTCAATGCTCAACCAGCCAATGGCAACAGGAATAAAAACCTGGACCAAAAACCTGGAGTCCACCTATTCTGGTGGTTTCAATTTGACCCATACCCACATGGTTGAGGGTGAAAACCGTTTTGGGATCCCATTTTGGGGTAGGTGTATTTCACCACCCATTTCAGTCTTCTTTTTGTGGGGATTGGGATGTTCCTGGGGGTACGATTTGGATTTTGACCCATATTTGGATGTTGGGCCAGGCTAGGTGGTGGTTAGCCAGTTGGGGTATAACCCCCTGATCCCACTGAACGGAGTTGTAACCGAACGTTGACTGTTACAACGCACTAACCTGGCGAATCGAGCACCCAAGTAATCATGCTGGTCAAGGGCAAAGAGGGTGTCTTTTTTAGGGGACCCCCCCGAGATGTTTGGCTTCCTCTTGGTTTCCCTTTCAAACAAAAAAAGTATACCCTGAAAAAAACAAGAAAAAAAGGACCCAAGTTGCTTTTACCCGACCGTATGACACTTTGACATCGGGTCGTTTACTTCTACACTCATGTGCATTTGCTTGTGCACGACTCCCGGGCATTGGCTCCAAGATACGCGTTCCAGGTGTAGTGTGTAACATTCACAACTCGCATACCAACCAATACCTCCATTTGCTTCAGTCCCCTGGAAAAACTGACAACATATTTCCAGTAGTGATAGATTCCCATTAACACCAACAAAGGGAACAAATATATTCTTAAGCAGATGGAAGAATAGGTACAGATCGCACACAATTTGGAGATTCAACATATATAACATGGGTGGGAAACGAACAACTGGGGGGTCCACGTGCTAAGTAACTCATTATAAGGGGTTTGGTTGTTTTGAGGGTGCCATGTCTGGGTTGGTTTCCTTTTAAAACCACAAAAAGGGCCCCCACAAAACCACATACACTGGGCTGTCCTCAGATTCCCTTGCCAAAAGTGTTACTTGTGGGTTGCATGGCCAACCCCCACTAAACCAATTAAAACCCAAGAAAACCCAAGGAACCGGACGGCTGGGAACCGACCAAAGAGTTGGTCTCAGATAAGGGAGCTCCTCCATTTGCTTCAGCCCTCTGAACAAAATGTGAACATATCTCCAAAAACCGAAATCGAATCCCTTGAAAAAAAAGAGCAGGGGAACCCAAAACAAGACATATCCAATTTCCCCGCACGTCGGTTCGATTGTGGCTCAGATGCGTATAGTCTTAGTTATGTAATTTGTCCACCGCGGAAAACGGGTCGGGCTCCCCGTCGCCAAAAAAAACCGCCGCGTCCCCGCGCGTCCCCAACCCCCCGAAGCGGAGGCCGAGGGGCGTCGTCGGCGTCCTCCTCCTCCTCGGGCCAGGGCATACTGGCGGAGGTGGAGCCTCCGAAGCGCTTAATGGAGTCCACCTGAGCGGTTTGGGGCGGGTGGGGGGGGGGGGGGGGAGGGGCTGGGTGGGTGGGCAGAGGGTTGGGGGGTGGGGGGGTGAGGGGGGGTTGGAGTTGGGGGGGGGTGGGGGATTCGGGTTGGTTGGGGTGGGTTGGGGGAGAGTTGGTTGGGGTTGGGGGGTTGGGCTGAGTTGGGGGCGGGGTAGGGGGGTTGGGGCTGGGGGGGTTGGGGACAAAAGGTGATCACCTTTTGGGACCTCTACTCAAAATGGACCAAAAAGGGAAAACCAAAAGGTCAAAAGGTCGGTTTTGAACAACTGGGTGAGTCAACAAGGATAGGTTGAACAGACCGTTGTTTCGGGATGGTAGCTCAAACCCCCCGTGGGCATGGGAAAAGGGCAGCATTGGACACCTCGGGAAGAGACAAGTTCAAATGGAAAGCGGTTCCTACAGCTTCCTACGGAGCATGCAACCCAATCCGGACTGCTTCAACGTCAATAGATCTGATGGCATGGCAGCTGTGAAGCTCACTTCCTGAGTAGATGGCCCAAACAAATGTCCAAACCTTTTTTGTTTACCCGTAAAATGGTCCTCCCAAAAGTTTAAAGTCCAAGAGCTCAGAAAGTGAGCAAGTCTCCAGCGCCGGCACTCTGATGCTTACAGTCAACCGACACCAATACCTCTGATGCTGAAACAAACGATGAGATCTGCTTTTGTCTACGAATCCGAAATCCGAAGCTAGGAATCCTCAAGGGGCCAACATGACATATCATGGTCAATTGGTCATGGTTCCCTGAGTAGGATTCATTATAACTGCTCTTAAGGATCCTTGCTACTGGGTGTATGACCATTTTTGCCAACCTCAAGTAAAGGGAACGTGTGACCATATAATATCGCGCTTGCTTTACCCCCTCCATCGAGTCGCGACCTCGATTCCCATAGGCAGAGCGCATGCAAAGAGCATGGCACCGTCTCACTGAGGCCCCGACTGTCATGGGGTTCGCCTAAGCCACGTCGCAAACCCCACGTGATTTGCGGTCAACCAATGGTCTGCAAGCACTTCCGGGAAAGTTGGTTCTGGATTGAGTGGTTTGAGTGGCGTCTGGTCTGCCAGCACAAACACATAACCAACAAAGAAACAAGAAACGTAAACAGGTCTGTATCCATTGACAGGCGGGAAACTGGAACGTCATGACTGCCTTCGAAGGACTTCTCGGACTGCCTTCGGCCTTCCTCTGGCGATTCAGTCGCAGAGTTTGTGCCTACAGTGGTTGATCTCTGCATTAAATAGGCCCGGGCGGCCCGGGGGGGGGGGTCGTCAAACTTAAGGCGCCTGTTTGGTCCTTGGATGTTCGATTCGCCAAGTTTGTAAGTGGTTAGCCACTTGGGGTGTTCACCCCCTTTATAACAAGGTCAACCCCACTGAATGCGGGGCTCCAGAACCGAAACGTTACCGCCACATCTTACTAACTTGGCGAATCGAACACCCAAGTCGGCCTTTAAAAGGCGGCACGTATATCTACCGGCCGTAAGCGCCGAAACCTTCCCGAAATGGTTGTCCCAAAAGTCACACCGCATCACAACTCGGGCCAGGGAGGTGAAAGCTGAATGTTTCAACATCTTGCTTCCCTTGAAAAAGGTGGGTCGGTTTGATTTGGCGCTTGGGTTACCGTCCCATTTACCCACTACAAGGGTTGAGATCCGCAGTCCCCCCCGATTCAAACCAGCAAAGGTTGCTTGAGAAGAATCCTCTCATGATTTTGACCGGTTGGGGTGGTGTCCCATTTACCCTCTACAAGACGGGGGACCAATCCAAACTACCATTTCTATATTGCTGTTGACACCCCTCTGCAAAAAGTTTAACTTGTTGCGTGTCCAATGGAAATTCCACACTGTGTTTACCAACAAGTTAAAAGATCCGTTACACCATAGCCATAAAACCCAAGAAGCTGTTTTTGAACCCACCCAAGTAAGAACCGACCCCCACCAAAACCAAGAAGTTCACCAAATTGAGCTGGGTAAAAAGATCATACCAAACTGAGGGTAAAAAGCTCCAGCCAAATCGCCCGAAAGCATTCATTGACTTCTGTTTGGCACCAGCCGCTTTTCTGCCGGCCAAGAAGCATTCGCAGGCTCCTGCACCTGGATGCCACCTAGCGGAGACCGTCTCTGGACGTCTGTCGGTTTCCATGTCCCAGCTGGATTCGTCCAACCAAGTAGCTGCACATGGGAAAGCAGGGGATCTTTTCATGCAGCTTCCCTTGCCTAGCCACCATCAACCTAGTCTTCTGGTCTACCAAAACCCATTTCTCAATCGCCCCGGCCCGGATGGGACCCCAAAACGAGGTGAAAAACCTTTGGGCGCCACCAGACATGGGGATTCAAAAAATGGTCATTTCAGGTCTTCTTTCGCTTTGGGCCAGTGAGCATTTACCAGCCGAAACATGGCCCGAAATCCCCTTTTGAGAGAAACACGCCTGAAATTTGCTTTTGCATCACCGTGATGAAGGCACACACACACGTGCAAAAACAGGCGAGATCCAGCGAATCCGGTGCGGATCAATGTTGTGAACCCTAAGCTCCAGGCAACTTGTTTCTCTGTCGGGCTTGTGTCATCGTGGTGCCTCTCTTTTAAACTTGGAAGGTACACTTCGATTTGCGTTTCCCCCCCAAAAAAAAACAACAACAACATGTCCAGTGGTGAAATCGATTCCCTTTACAGCAAACAAGGGAAAGTCAAACAACATCTTCTGCAAATGTAAGGTGTATACATCTTCCCTTTCCGCGTCGAAAAGGAAGCTTGTCTATAGACTCCCAGAACTCAAAGGCGAAATTCGCCTGGGGTCTCCTGGCCCCACTCTTGGCCTACGAAAAATGTTCACTGTTTTGAGCTGATCCGCTCTCCGCTCGAAAAACCAAGGAATGGAGCAGGGAGAATGGCGAAGGGTTGGAGTTATCCAGACTAAACCTTGCCAGGTCCTCCAGATTTGAGAGGTTAGAATAAGTTGGTTCCTGATCTTTTTTCAGTAGTCTATTTTAGTAGGGGAACCCTCCCCCCAAAAAGTTGGTAAAAGGGCACCTAGCTGGGGGACCTAGGTATGTCCTTCCGCCCTTAAAAACCTAAAGCCCCGGTGAAGCGCGACGAATCCCCTCACTCACTACCGCCACTCGCCGCTCGAGGGCTCGAAACCGCTCGAGGGCTCGCCTCCCAGTCCGATGTCTCCCTCGTTGAACTCCAAGCGCTCCTCGAAGCGCAGGCTGTGGAGGAAGCGTTTCCAGCCTCGAAGCGGCCAAACAAAATGCGCGCCATGAACATAAACGAACTAGGGGGGCGAACTGGGGAGGGGGGGGGGAGGTATCTCTGGAGAAGGAGAAGGATAAGTTGTTAGGGTTCATATGGGTTAATAAGGGACAGCCCTCGCTCGCTCCCCATAGCTCCCAGGAGGGGGGTGGGAGGACTTCTTCTCCTGGGCTGCCATCATGCATGGAATAGCTGGCTCTTTTCATGACATGAGTCACATTCAAACCTGGTGTTAACATGGGTTGCCAAGAACCATGTCTGATTTGCCCAGTTTGGATCCAGAAATGAAAGGTGACCACCCCCACTAAGAATGTACCAAAAGGGGGAACCAAAAGGGCATGTCAGGTCTTCTGTCGCTTTGGGCAACTGAGATTAACATGGTCTACCACAAACCACGTAGCTTGCTGGTTCTCAGCAAGGAATGAGGGATGACCTCTATAACCAGTCCCCTATGGTTTTTCTTTAAGGGAATCCCTAGGTCCATTCGCATTGAAAGAGCTCGTATTTGTGTAGAGTTACTATCCATGGCCACAGGGTGCCAAGACCCCATTGTTTGAAGCCTTCGGCCCTTCATATTTAAGGTCTTGGGAATGCGTATTAAAACAAGCTTCTTAAATAGCTTCTTCAGTTTCTGCAGATGGAAAATGGATTCGTGATACGCAATTCCAGTTTAGCTATTGACATTTGGTGTGTTCGGTCGTCTGCGTGCGCGTCACATGGGAATGAGGCAGAATGCCTTCAAGAACGAGAGCTGCACACATAAATAGAAGATCTGGATGATACTAAAAGGGGCATTCTACTTAGTAATTGGTTAGTAAGCCTGGATATAGCCCACTTACCATGGTTATAAGTCTCTTAAGTGAGTTCTAACCAGGCTTACTAACCACGTACTAACTACCCTGCCCCTTTAAGTGTCAGTGAGTTGTGGCCAGGCTTATGAACCACTTGGTAAGTAGCATGCCCCTTTGAGCAGATCAAATCTCTGCCACGGTTGTGGGCTGATGGTCAGCATCAAGTGTGCTACTTGTCTGGATGCCAGCGGAGCTTATCCCCGCACTCCATAAAGCTTCACCCATCCCAACTGGTGATCCTCTTGCCTCTTGGCGTCACAGAAACATGCATACACCGTCTGGCCGCAAGAGACAAACGTGGAAGCTGTATCAAGGCAATTCCGTAGTCATGAAATGCCCTTCGGAATCAAACCAGTGCCCCCTCCCCCAAAAGACTGAATAACAGGTATGTTTTTGAATAAATCAATCTCTGAAGCCGGCACAGCCAGGAGAACTCAATGCTGGCATATGGCCATGGGTCAAAAGCCCGTACCCCCAGTGAACATCCCAATCCCCACTAAAATAGACTAAAATGGGTGGCGCACCTACCCCAAAATGGTACCATTGGTCTTGACAGCCATGTTGGTGGTATACTGCACTGGGCTGTCCTCATATCCCCTGCTAAAAGTTTAACTTTTAGTGGGTTAAATGGAACCCCACTGCCACTAAACCCTAGAAGCTAAAAAGCTAAGGAACCGGATGGCTGGGAGCCGCCCAGTGCAATGCCCCAAACACTCAAAGAACACACACACACTCGTGTGTGAGTATTTGCTCCAGTTCTGGATGCCAAGGAGCGCTTTTGGCTAACCTCTTCCAGCGTCGCCCTGGGGAGCGCGGGTTTCAAGTTGGGAACCTTGCAACTTGATTCGACTTGAAAGGTGCTGTGTTTCTGGGGTGTTGTTTTTTTTTTTCTTTTTAAGATCCCCCGCTAAAAGTTTAACAGGGATCCTTACATTATACACCTGGACATGTTTTTGTTTTCTGGTGGTTTCCCTGTATTTTGGTGTTGAAAAAGCAACATGTTTCAAACGGTTGCAACATGTTTTCCTTTTTGCGGAGCCCTGTTTAACTTGTGGGTTAAATCCAACCACTCCAACCACACAAAAAAAAAAAACAAAAACACTAAAAAACTAAGGAACCGAACCGGACGGCCGGGAACTCGTCCCCCGCCAAGGTTTCTCCAAGTTCGGGCACCCCTACTTGGGGCTGTTCGATTCGCCAAGTGAGTAAGTTCTAACGGAAACCATTAGGATCAGGGCTGTGGGAAATGGCCACTTCTGTGATACAAAGAAAAGGGCATCCCAAAGACTACCCCCCCCCCATAAATATAAAGAGGGGAATGCCCTTGTATCACAGGAGTGGGGAAAAACCCCTTGATCCCACAACCCTGGTTAGGATATAACTCACTTGTGAGTCCCCTGTGAGATTGTGGGGTTGACCTTGTGAGGTGAAAATTATCCCAAGCGATCACCACTAAGTTGTCAACATCGAATTAGAAATGCCTGCTTGTGGATTTGTTGGTCTCCATGTGTTGCTCTGCTTTTTGTGTTTGATGTTTCTTTTTGTGTCGGGGCAACCTTTGAAAGCCGTTCGACCAGCTGAGTGTTCAGTTTGGGCCCGCCCGAATGGAACGCACCATAGGA